CCACAGAAATCGGTTTTGAGTAAATAAACCGCAGCAGCAGCAGCAGCAGCAGCAGCAGCAGCAGCAGCAGCACTGTCTGCAACATGAGCCTAAGTAAGCCGTTAAAATGCTTTTAAAACTAAAATAGCGATCCAGTGCGGAAGAGCAAGTGGCCGAGCGACCCTCGCTTTCTGGGTGGGCAACTAAATTGATTGCTGCTGCTGCTGCTGCTGCTGCTGCTGCTGCTGCTGTTGCTACTACGCAGTGGCTGGCTTTTTGTTTTTAATCATTTGCCGCAACGTTTTATTAAAAATCCAAAAAAGTAGCGACGTCATTTTATTGTCTACTTACTGCTCGACTCCAAAATCCCATGCACAAATTTTATGAGCCAGCCCATAAAAATGCCTTTTACCGTTCTGCGTTCTCCGTTTTTGTTTTTTGGTTTTGGGTTTTCTTTTCTTTTTTTTTTTAATTTTGTGCCAAACTCTCGGGGGGCACATTTGTTGCTGCTGCGCTGAAGCTGCCGAGGGGAGGCGACATTGTTTACGGCTACAACTGTTTGTTGGATGATGCCAAAATTGATGACCATAATCTTGGGCACAGGGAGCTGGGCAGAAGGATGCGCTTTTTATGATGAAGCGCCGAGTTGCAGCCGAAAAACAACCACCGACTATGGCTGCCCCGCACTAACCACCACCCACAAGCACTGGAAGAAACAGCATACTCGTTATGATTCAATTTTACCCACATATAAATGATGTGTGCCATTTCTTCCTGAATTATATCAGGTGCCCTTTTTAAAAGAGGAAACCCATGAAATTGGCTTTTACAAGACGTGAAATGTGGGCCATGGTTTCTCTCAGTGCAACAGTGCCTTCCCTTCCCTTGTTGCAACAACATTATTCATGGCGGCTTCGAGAGCCGCGGGAGCGGAAGCATATTTTATGTTTTAACGCTGCCGAAATTGGGCAGCAACAACAACATCTCATACATCAGCATTTAGAGACCCCTCGCCCCGGAAAAATAAGCGCAAGGGGGACTTCCCCCAAAGGGGCGGACGTTTGTCTTGCGGTTTTCGCGCTTGCAACTGCCTCCCTCCCTTCGCTCCCTTCGCTCCCTGTTTTTTTGCTGACAGCAATTGTTGCTGCTGGCTGCTTTTACCGCCTTTACCGCTTGCAATTTAGCGGCTTAAGCGCAATATTTACAGCGCATTTTGAAGTGTGTTTCGTCTGCCGTAAACGAATGAATAAATAAGCCGACAGGTGCAGGAAGCGGACTCCGCGGACTCAGCGGAAGATTTAAGGAGATCCAACAAATGACAAAAGGAGACGACACTGTTAAGCTGCAAAGCCAAACAAATGGGGTCTGCATGAATTATTGAAAAAGAGTTATGGCAATTAATGGGCGCAATTTGAAAGCTTCTTTGGAGACTCAGAAACGGATGCACAGAAGGAAAAGCGCCAAAATATGAACAATTTCACACAAAATGTTATCATTGTAACATAAGGAGTTACAAGTTAGCACTCCAGCTTACTTGACTAATTAAATGGTAATATTCTAATCTTTTTCCGAGTGTGTAGAAAGATATTCCTAGAATCTTCATGAGGCGCGGCGGCCCAGTGATCGCCACTATTAACGACTGTTTGCGCCCATATTGTATTTGAGAAAACTGCTTGTCTCTCAGCAAATTGCCCATAGAAATGACGCCTCATTGGCCCCATTCTTGCCAGGCAAGCAAGCAAGCAGCTAAGCAAAAAGCACAAGCACAAGCACAAGCACAGAAGCACAAATGTGAAGTAAATGTGAGAATCCCAGAAGCAGCGCCTTCTGCTTCATTTGCCAGCTATCAATTAAAGCCAACCGAGCGCGTCGCGTTTTGCTTAAGTTCATCAATTTTCCGATCCGATTGGGTTACAGTATTTGCACTTGCGTTTTAATTGAACGTTTCGGGCCGGGGTGAATTATGCGACAGCTACGCCAAAAGCAAACAGAGGAAACCAAAACAAGCGGGCCAGCAAACAAACAAACATTTTGCCGCCACCCAGAAAAGAAATCGACTGGGGAGTTGGGCTACCAACCAATGCAAGTCAATGTTTTAAAAATAAGCAATGCATTTCGGAACGGGAAGAACCCGAAATGTGCGTGGCTGGCAGCTGCATTTATGTTTTGGCAATAAAATGCAAATGGTAAAAAGTCCATAAAAAAGTTCAAGTCGAGAGAGCATTTCCAGCTTTCGATATGCTTATGCTACTCTAAAAAAGATTTTATGGATGCACGCCCGGGCTGATTTCCGTTTTTATCGTCATCTACACAGCGAGAATGATTTGAACCTTTTTATAAGTTTTCTAGGCCAAATTTTAGGAGGTAATGTCAAGCTGTACCACTAGAGTTACCAAAACCAAAAGTAGATAAGTTCTCTTGCCTAGATTGAAAATAATATAAATGGTTAATTATGATCATTAAAGCGTTCCGTGAAGTACCCACTTTCCCGGCCTCTTCTGCTGTTCCTCGAACTGCCTTCAATCGCCGACTGCTGCAGTTGCTGCCTCTGCCTCCTGTTGCTGCGCTGTGGCTGTTGCACATTTGCTATGCTGTTTGGGGCAGCATCCACAGCAGAAGCAGCTAGAAACTGTAAAGTCCGTAAAATGCTTTTGCCGCAGCACAAAGGGATTTATACATGTGCTGTGCCAGTGCACCTGTGTGTTGAATATTTTACGTTTCTGAAAATTTGATGAATCTCCACAAATGCAGAGGGGAAATGAGGGAAAAGCGAGTAAAAAGAGCACTCAAAGCACACAACTTCAGCGTCATCATCGCACGAGGAAAGTATCCATCAACACTTTTGTTTTACGGCGCTATCGTTTCCTCCGCCCCACTCCCCCGCATGTTTGCTGGCACACATCCGTCCGTCTGTCCATCAATTTGTTGTTCGGCCTAACCACCAACTCTTCAGTTTGTTTGGCTCTGTGGCCACTTTAATAGCTTTCGACTACTTTGTATCTACTTTGGGAGATACGCATCTATGCTATTGTATATCTACGTGCATATCTATCCGCATTATTTAGCCGGGGGCTGAAATTTGTGATATTAAAGTGGCTCCCGAGCTAGCTGTCTAATTGCTTTAGTCAGTTGCCTGAGCTAATTGTCTGGCATTTTGCCCCGTAAACGTTTTGTCAAAAGGATTAGCTCCAAGCTGCCCCCAGCTGCCACGCCCCCAGCTTATGGCTTGTAATTCCTCAATGTTTTCCATGGCTAAGGCGACACACATTATCCAAACTTGAAATGGGTAAAGGGGAGTTATTGGCTGGGGCTTTGCCTAATGCGCTTTGCACTCCACTTGCAACAACCAAATCGGATGCGATAACAATGCAAAGCTTACACGACGACTTACATGGGCTTTGGGCTGTAATTGAAGACCCCAAGGGTGTTGGAGCCACAAAAGGTCTCGTGGCACAAAGATCTGCAGATCGACACATGTCAGTTCACACAACAATACTGTACGATCTGTACTTCCTATGACTGTAGATAAAATATGCGATAAATCAACCTGTAAAATGTAGAAACTGGTTCCTAGTAACGGGTTTTCATGTTTCGATTCTGGGTATATTTTGTCAATTCTATGTTCATTCATCTACAAGTTTTATTTTTTTGCACTTGGAACTAAAGTTGAATGTCATAAATATTTGCTGCCGAACTCGTTTAATAATAATATTTAGCAACAAACAATAGGCGAAAGCTGCCATATAACTAAAGACTTTCCCCACCAGGCCATCCAATTAAATTCCGCTCCATGCTAGATTTCGTCAATCGCCAAATGATAGTTTAATCAAGCCGAAAACTACGTCAAATCGAAATATCGAAATAAAACAGCGGGAGATAAATAGATAAAAATTGGCAGCCGCAGCGGCGAATTCGTGGATCCAAACAAATGGCGCTACACTTGCGCTACGAAACTACTTGTAAACATTTCAAACATTCAATTAATTAATTAATTGCGAAAATGTGGCAAATTAATTTCCCATAAAAAGTGAGCGCGCGGAAAATGTAGAACAAATCTCAATGGAATATTATCAACAGACTTCGAGTGGCGAAAGTTTCGATCGAATTGGGGGGCAGATGAACCCGGGAAAGCAAGGGGAAAAAGGGGAAAAGTGGGGAAAATCGGTGCCTCGAGGCGCAGACGGAGACGGAAATAGTCGGAAAGCCAGATAGTGCGATAGCCGCAGATATGCTGAGCTCGTTACTCATACGCCAATTTACGATGCACTTAAGTTTTATGAGAATTTAAGATTTCCTGCAAATCAGCATACTCCACAGTGCCGCGGCGGAGTGGGTGCCACAAAATGATAACCGAAGCTGGCCAGGAAGCGGGCGAGGTGCAGCGGCGGCTTCTTTTTGAAATAATTCAGAGATACTTTTGTGAGTATGCAATTAGCTCGAAAATAACTGGAAATAGATATGGCATGGGAAAACAATTCAAGGAAATTCCTTCTGCTATTGCGAGAAGACTGATAAGAAAAGGCGCATACTGGCATGTGTGTTGTAACGTTTGATAAATCAAATAAAAGTTTATGATTGGCCGTAAACACTTCGTTGTTCGGTTTTTCCATTGTGCAACCCTAAATTAGTGGTTGCCAATTTACACATTGCATTCAGAATCCGAGAGTCCAAACATGAAATTCAAATCGGCATTCCGAGTTTACAGAACACTGTTCTAATTTTAAATGTAAAGAGGGCGCGCAAGGTTTGAATTCTCGGTGAAACGGTATTTTTACCGATTAACTCGGACGCTTCACCCGAGATCCGCTAGATGGCGCTTTGGGCGCAGAATTTGTGTAAAACTCATGTAGATAGTTCTGCAAGCGAGAGTTAGATGGCGCTTAATCCAGCCAAAAATTAGCCAAACATTTAAAGTGTAGCCAGAAAGCAGAAAACAAAATTGTATTTTTCCATAATGAAAGCATGGAAAAACATCCCTATCCCTTTCTAATGAATCCTTCCGAAAACTCTATGTCTTCCAGCGAGCACTTCATTTCGGAGCACACAGTGATGGCGGTGTTCACCTCGCAGGGCCAAGTGGGTGGACCCTGCAGATACATGCCGGCCACGCGGCGACAGAACCACCAGTGCCGCAAGGAGACGGGACTGCCGGGAACGCTCAGCGAAGCCCGCCGCCTGGCCACCAGCCACTGCGAGGAGCAGTTCCGCTACGACCGCTGGAACTGCTCGATCGAGACGCGCGGCAAGCGGAACATCTTCAAGAAGCTCTACAAGGAGACGGCCTTCGTCCACGCGCTCACGGCGGCCGCCATGACCCACTCGATAGCCAGGGCCTGTGCCGAGGGCCGGATGACCAAGTGCAGCTGCGGGCCCAAGAAGCACAACAGGGAGGCGCAGGACTTCCAGTGGGGCGGCTGCAACGACAATCTGAAGCACGGCAAGCGGGTGACCCGCAGCTTCCTGGACCTGCGCGGCGGAGACGGGGACGAGGTCAGCGAGATATTGCGACATGACTCGGAGGTAAGCTAAGTGGGAGGAGATGTAGAAGGAGATATTTAACCGCACTTTCCGCCCAGGTCGGCATCGAAGCTGTTTCCTCGCAGATGATGGACAAGTGCAAGTGCCACGGCGTCTCCGGCTCCTGTTCGATGAAAACCTGCTGGAAGAAGATGGCCGACTTCAATGCCACAGCCACGCTCTTGAGGCAGAAGTACAACGAGGCCATTCGCAAGGCGCCCAACCAGCGATCCATGCGCCAGGTGTCCTCGAGTCGCATGAAAAAGCCAAAGCAGCGCCGCAAGAAAGTACGTTCTGAAAGGATACGTTCTATAGCATAGATATAGATATTCTGTATATGAGATACATAATGGAATAGGTCTTAAGTTCCTACAAACTTGCTTATGGACTCAGATCCCGTAGGAGTTTCAGCAGCAGCAACAGATTATTGAGCTAAATTACTAGTATTTAAGGGCTGCACCTCCAAACCACTCAAGAACCCAACTAATAATGCCTAAATCTCCCCTTCACAGCCCCAACAATCGCAATACACCACGCTGTACTATCTGGAGACCTCGCCCTCCTACTGCGCGGTCACCAAGGATCGGCAGTGCCTGCACCCGGACAACTGTGGCACCCTGTGCTGTGGGCGTGGCTACACCACGCAGGTGGTGAAGCAGGTGGAGAAGTGCCGGTGCCGGTTCAACAATGGGCGGTGCTGCCAGCTGATCTGCGACTACTGCCAGCGGCTGGAGAACAAATACTTTTGTAAATAGACGGGGTGTCATCTGTCGCCGACTTTCTCCGCCCGTCTCCGTCATTTTCTACCCCTCTACTGTACTGTGCTCTTTGAAAATGTAATTTGTAAAGTTTTTTTCTACCTTTACGGCTTGTAATTTTTTTCCATTCCTAACAAATATTACTGAAGATAAGCAAAAGGAACGAATGCAGAACGACAGCAGAAGAGATCGATCAGAAAGCTAAGGCTTCGCTAATGGCCAAACTCACCAGCTCACACACATACCCAAATGCACACACACAGTCACACACACAGTCGCACAGACACACACAAGCGCATACATGCATCTATCTATTTAATTACTATATAATATATAGTAAGCATTAGCTACCGTCGCAAAGAAAAAATCTCAAAAAAATCGCAAAACTTTATTTAGCAAAACGGAAAACCAACAAAAAAACACGGACACACACGCCAACAACAACCGAAAAGCAGAAGCTAACAAACACACAGCAACAAAAAAGAAAAATAAAAACAAAAACAAAAAACAAAAACATTTTAATAAGTATTTAAACATACAAAACAAACCAAAAAAAATACAAAACTGAAATGAAATATAAAGTTTCACATAAAAATAAGTCCTAAAATGTCTTTTATTGCGGTTTAGACTTAAAAGATCATCCAAAGTTCCTAACGGATACATTTACATTTCTGATGATTCCATAAAGAAGTATGTTGGCATTTATAAAGTAAAGACTGCAAGGATGACCTTGTGGTGCAATAGTAACTCAGTTAGATGCGAAGAAGCGACCAAGGAATTAATTAATTAATTCTCGTTCGGCACACAACAGTGATGTGCAGCCATGCAAACACTTGAGCAATTAGCGTATTGTCGCAATAAAAAAGGCGATCCATCACGTTACTGCAGGTGACTTGGCCAGCGCTGAAGTGGCGAACTCTTATCAACCTTCGGTCGGTTACATTGATCGTGGCAGTGGGCCACTTGAGGCCGTTTCAACAGCTTCAAACCCGACCAAACCGATGCGTGAACCGCCAACCTCAAGTGTTAGATAACCGGTTTTATCAATTGTCAAATTGACTGCTCACGATGTCCACGCGACATTACTTAGCACGAGACTCAGCGCACAGCCGTTCGCCTACCCTAACCCCAAAAAACATCCGGCTAAACTTCCGGTGATCTCCGCCTTCGAGTAGTTCCTCCAGCAACAGTAAAGCTTGCCTAAGGCAAACGTAGCCGGCACAACTTCTTCTAATGTCACAATTTAAGTCCAAGTCTTAGCAAAGCGCCATCTGTTGGTAACTTACTTTACATACATAAAGCCGTTTTACATTGCATACATTTGGGTGTATGTATTTATTTACATCTCACTAAAGTGAGATTTGTGCTTGATTTGAATTAATTTGTATTAATATTATTATTTTGCTTTTTATTATTCTTTGTAATTATTACTAAATATTTTTATTATTTTGTTATTTATTAATATATTGTAATTATTACTAATTCTTATTATTATTTTGCTTATTATTATCTCTTTGTACTCATTATTCATTATTACTTTTTAGACAAGAAGCTAGTTGTAAACTTTTGTAAAATAATTTTAAAAGAAGATTTTAATTAACATTTAATTTTATATGAACATAGCAGGGAATACATTTTTTACTAAATCAAAAAAGTATATTAGGCATGTATAAAGTGCAGTTTTAGCTCTGCAACGTTACATTTAAGGCACCTCCACTGTACCAAACTGATGTGTTATTTAGTCGCCTTAATGGCAGTCGAGCCATCTGTCATGTCCCAGGACCCGGGAACTCACACTTTTCCCCTTCAGCCGTGACATTGATACGCTTCTGTCAACATAATTCAGTGAGTGTTGCGTGCTGAGGCCCGAAAACTGTTGCATGTTTCGCATGACAAGGATGCCAGCGAAAGCAGGGAAAAGGGCAAACCTTTTTGAGGTACCAGCCAGGCGGTTTTCATTTCACATGCGCCTTAAACACAATATTTTCTATGTAAACTGAATCCTTGTGGTCTCCATTTGATTGGAAAATATTTGTCTGGCGGGCAAATATTGATTAAGAACCAACGCCCCACGCAAGTACAGATTTGTACATTAAACAGCTGGAAAGTCGTAAAGATTGCTCCAGAAAGGCAGGACAAATTACACGCGACTGCCATTTGGAAATGACAGGATGAAGGCACGCCCCAAGCTCATTTCCCAAACCCACATTATCCGCCAGCTGACATTTGGGAATGTGGCAGACACAAGGTCAAGAATTCAGTGGGAAAGTGAGGCAGGTTTTCGACGTTCATATAGAGTGTTCCCTGAAGAGAATGTAAGCAATTTGTAAATACTATTTAGCGGGCCTTTTTACCATTGAATATGTGGTCTTGTCATATTGTTTAATTCTATTTTCCACAACGTTAGGAAACCATTTCCTTGTTTGTTTACAACGGCATCAGCAAGCGAAGGTAGTTACCAGTTATCAGCACTTTCTCACTGCTACTTTCCCTACGAATGTCACGAACTATAACAACTGGCAATTCAGTACACAAAAGTTCAATAGAGCAAATCAAAGCTTACAGCCAACTATAAGTAATTAGTCATTTGGCTTCAATTACACAGCCTTTTCATACTTTCCGTACCATGCCGTCTTAACTAGCCACTTAACAACTGCTTTTCTAATTGCTCAGCTGCTTTCAGACTGCCAATCGAACCAAGAATGGCAGCCAATTGTTTTAGTTCCGTGAAAACCGCAGCCATTCGATGGGTATTAATTACTATTAGTATACCCCCGGACCCCCTCCTAGCCACGCCTCTGTGTTACGCCCACGCGAGGGGACAATAAAAGTAATTTGCATGAACGGAAACAAACGAACGAACGAGACGTTGGATCAAACGGCACAATAATAAATTAAATAAGTTAGGCAAATAACAAATACACGTGAAAAACGAAAGCGGGAGAACGGAGTGCGGATTGGCAAAATACACTATGATAATTCAATTAATTAATATCAAAGATTTGGGTTATTGCTATGAAATTTTGTATGCATCGTGTATACTTGAAGTATTTCTTATCATTATAAAATTGGATTGGATAGGATTGATTTGATTCGATTATATTTATATTTTTTAAGCTTGCGTTTTGGACTCCTAAATATTTTAAGCATTTTAATAAAGCTTGAATAATCATTACCTAGGCCTTAATTCACTTTTGTAAATTGAATTTAATGATGCGATGATTAAGCAAAAGCTTAAAGAACATAACTAGAATAAGGTAAATGAATACTTGATATATTTCGCTTTCAGCTTATATGTAGATACACCGAAAATCATCATCGAAATATGATGTTGCTATCGATTGAAACCCCAACTTCGCTGTGTAGAGTATCCCAGACCAGAACGAAGAATGAACGAAGTGGAAAGTAAACGCCAAAATCGCCGATCTCAGCACTTGTCACGTATGGAAGAAAAGTGAAAACAAGACCAGAGCAACGAAGACGCCGCCCAGACGGATTGCAGTAGAGTCTAATGAGAAAGCTGACCGCAAAACTATGATTTTGATTCGGGGGAGGTGGAGGTGCCACGGGTTACAGATCGGAAAGAACGATGTCTCAATTGGCAGAAAGTGAGAGTGCAGCGCACTGCATCCGACAGATACGTGAACTCAACAAAAGCCAAATGTCGCTCGGGTTGGGGCAACATTTCCATGGAAACCATCGACCCAAACACTCGAATCATGAAGATGCTGCTGCTACTTTGGGTGCTACTTGTTGGATCTTCAGTTTTTGGGTGAGTTGTAAATAGCTGGGGAAATATGAAATAGGTTTTATATTTGTATTCCCCATTAGTTCGCCTTTGGAGATGCAACTTTTGGATATGATGCTGCGCGAGGCGGAGGACTATCCCAGCAATGGTCGCGACCAGAGGGATATATCCGTGTTGCCAGCAGCGTCGATAGGTTGTGATGACAGCGGCGATTCACAGGAGCCGTTTAGCCACATTTTCGATGACTATGAGGAGGACAAGGAGGAGTGTTTGGACTTTTTGCCACCCTGTGAACCAGCTTTCGATGAAGGTCTACCCATTGAACACCCGTGTTTCGTTAGGTTACTACTGCTGAAAACACCGCTGCTTAAACAGGATCCCTGCGCCAATTTCACCCTGGCGCCAGAAAGACCCCCCACCACAGCTAAACCCAAAACCAAGAAATGCAATCCAAAACGTAAAGCAAGTAAAAGTGCCACACCAAACGAACTACTGGCACTGGCCAGTAATGGTACAATTGCTTCAACCACAGATGCACCATTAAGTTCAACAACAGAAACTTCAACCGATTCTAAAATCATAAAACTTAGAAAGTTAGTACCGAAGATCAAAGCAAATACCACAACGTCAACAACCACAACAACTGTGGAAACAACAACTGTAGATGAGAGCACCTCACCAGCGGAAACCAGCACCACAGAAGAAGCGACCACACCGGAAACGACCACAGAACAGGAAACGACTTCAACACCAACCACAACAACTAGTTCCACAACATCGACTACACAGCCGCCGTTTACAGAGAACCAATTGAAGCGATTGAAGGCCTTAAGGAACAGGAGAAAGAATTCCAGGGCGAAGTCACCGAAAGTACCCGATCCCCCACAGATCAAGCTAGATAATGCCAGCCAGCCCAGCGAGGTTATTCAGGTGATCATGACCACCGAAGCTGCTGAACTGAAGCTTCGACCGGAAGTGAGCACCAACACCACAACGGTCGTGCCTCCGACCACTGTCTCTACGACTACTTCCGGTCCGGAAACCACCACCTCAGAAAGCTGCGACGAAGACATCACTGTGCCGGAATTCTCAGGATGTGAAGATGACGAAGGTAAAGGCAAATTCAAGGCAGCTGTAAAACCACTTAACAGGTCATTTTAATCCTACAGGTACTCAGATGTCTGAAAATATAGTTACTTCCACTACAGAAGCACCTTGTGAAGACACAGATGAGCAGGATACGAATCTGTGCCCACAGTTTATGCCCAACCAAGGGCCTGGTAAGTATAATACAATATAATATAATATAATACAAATGGCTAAAATACCTAGAGTCCTTTTCACTAATATTAAAATGAAATTTCGTAATGTGCAGCAGCCAGTCCAAGACCACCTCCATCTTTCCGTTTTCGAAAGCCCGTGAAAAACTATGTGGAGCCCATTTTGTACGAGGGAAACTTTGCCAAGCCACTTCAGCGAATGGCGCCAGTGGGACCCCAGCAGCGGGATTACTTTGTGTCCAATAAACAAATAGTGCCCAGACCAAGACCCAAGTACAGGAAACGCATACCGCCCTCGATCTACATGAATAACATTGTGAGGGGCTTGGACTGCAGCGATGAAGTTGCTCAGTCTCCCCCAAGAACCCCCAATCAGCCGCAAAGATTTTGGGGTGTGAGTCCTGTAGGTTTCCTTCAGCGGAGTCAGGCCTTGATAAAGCAACAACCTGAGAGAAATATAAAAAGTTTTGCACCAGTGCCAATTAAGAGAACGCCTTTCTATCCAAGGAGCTCAGAGGAAACGGTGGAGAGACAGTATATGATGGAAAGGGATCCTGAACCGCGCCCGCAATATCACCATTACCCTGAAGACGAAGTATTTCACGAGGTTGCCCCACTCACCTCGCCTGCACCCAGCTTGGATCCCTGTCTGCAGGAGCACGATCATGTCCTCTTTCGCCAGAGACCACATCACCAACAAACTGATCATCTTGCAGACTATCCCCAAGCACCCACTTCCGCGCACTGTTTCACCTGATTAACCTGATCCATAACTTAGTTAGCTAAGTAGCACACAGAGCACCCAGTAACCAGTTAACCATTCAAAATAAATAAGTGCACCTCCGAGCAAAAGCAAAAGCAAAAGCCAAATCAAACCATCAATCAAGCGAAGCCCTTTCGGATAATTAGGGGAGGTCTTTGATCTTGGAGGAAGACGACGTCAGCAGTTGAATTATAAAGCAATTGCCATTCAGTTGGCGGTCAGAGGAGCCAAGTGAATAGCCACTTATCAGTCCAAAGCCGAGGCTCCATTCGCTGGCCAAAGGCACGCGCCCATAATGACAACCCCATGAGCGGGCCATGGCCACCACCTGATGGCCGCGAAAGGGTGCTTTGAGGTGGCCATGCACTCCACCCCATCGTGGCAGTCCTTTGGGAATAGTATTCCCCTAATTAGTTTCTACTGTTGAAATTTCCCCCCACCCCTCTAAAATCACAACTCACACATGAATAGATTGAGTGGGAGAAGCTTTTAATTGTTTCTATTTAACAGACAACTTTATCAGAGCTTCACAATTACTCAGGAAAACCGCTTCAACTTTAATATGAAATATGATATCAAAATCGATTTTCTCAGGGACTTTAAAATTCAGTGATTCGTCCAATTATATAAAACCAAAAAATTTAAGAAAAGGATTTTTGACGTTTATTCCAATCGGAAAACTGAGATCATATAGATGATATATCCCAAAATTATTAAAATAAAATAATTAAATTTAACACGTAATTTTATTTACATAAACGTTTCTAACTGTCTTAGAAAAAAACAACAAAAACTGAATTTCAAAGATATATTAGAAAACAAAGATTTAAGAGTTCTGAATCACCTAAGTGCCCTGCACTCGGAATCGTAGGTGAGTGGCTAACATATGACTGTCGCAAAAGCCCAACACGACAAAATGCCAAATCAAAAGAGCGTTTTTGGGGCCCACAGGAGTTTCCCGGCGAAAGAACAATGCAAAAACAAAGTAGTGGCCGCGTCTCCCTCTCCAGCGCTCTCTTAGCCGCGGCGAATTGCTATCCGAAGTGGAGGCTGACATTGTAAATGTCACAGGCAGGACCTGAAAGGCGGCGGCGCTCAGAGAGAGAGAGCGCGGCGAGAGGGAGCGAAAGTGCCGCGAGAGCGGATGAAAAGTGCGGCAAGAGCGAAAGTGAATCGGCGGAGCGGGGATGATTCGAAATTCGCCCGCTTGGTGGGTACTGATTTTCAGGTTCTCCTGGCCATTCGCCCAGTGCGGACGTGTTTTTCTCGCTTTCCTTCGCTTTTCACGCGCTTTCTGCGGCCGAAAACTGCAGAACGGAAAAAACCAAAAAATAGCAAATAGAAATAAACGGAAGGGAACCTGAGGCCAATACAAATCCAAGCCAATTAATCCATAAATATGGAAATCAATTGTTTAACCACCTAAGCGAAAAATAGTGAAATTAGTTAAACACTCTAAAAGTGCATTTATGTCATAAATAACCATGCAAAATATATATGTGTAGCTCTACAAATAAATCCGACTTGAAAAGGAAAGCTTGTTGTAACCTTACGCTAATGAGCAACCCGCCAAGATTAAATCGATACAAAATTTAAAAATAAATCAATCAATCTCCGCAATTTTCACAACCAAGCACTGCCAATGTGAACCCATCTATTTAAAAAAAAGTAACCCGCCTGAAGATAACGATACCCGAAAACAACCGTTAATGAGCATTTAAGAGGTCAGAACCGTATTTTCAACTCTAGCTATAACAGTTACTAGCGGTAACTGGGTCAGTAGGCAGAGCCCAAGTAACGCCCCCCTCGAGGGCTTCCTCATCCACCTTCTGCATCCTTCTTGGCCCCCATTCATCCAGTGTGGTAAGTATCCTACGCTTGGCACCCCTTGTTGTTGGATCTAGGTTTTCTCCCAATCCTTGAGGCTTATCTGCCGAAGTCTTCGGCTTAAAAGGATTTAAAAAGCCAATTTAAATGTTGATCACAGGGAAGAGGGGGGAGGTACTATGGGAAAATAGTTTGCGGGCTCTGATTAGCTTTTGTTGGACCAGGCTGTACTGTAATTGCCAAGAAAAAAGCGGGTCAGTAGGTCCCCAGAGTGGACCAGCTGCATGTTGGACTGCTTAAGGGGTTATTTTATGTTAACATTGCCAAATATGTGTAGGGAACGACATAGAGTTTAATAAAAGGGTCAAGTATTTAAATTAAATTGCTATCAAAAAGGGGATCTGATTTGGTTCAGAAATCGATGATTTTCTAAAATAATGATGTGACGAAGTTTATTATTAAAACAAATTCATATATTACCTAAAGAGTCTTAGCTTCTTACAACAAAAATAAAAAGTAATGAAATACGGAATTCTTTAGCCTCCAATGCTGTTTACCTTGTGGGAAACAAAATTAACGCCCTTTCCACGAACGGAAATGATTGATCTATACCTCAACAACGCTATCTTCAAATATTGATCAACAAATAGAGAACACCCAACCTATCGAGCCAAATAGAAGCAAGCGGACAACTTCGCAAGTGACTCAGGGATTATTCCGGACAATCGAAAGCCATTAAATTAGCCACTATGCCAACCTCCGATATTATATAGCCTTCTGTTTAACTACTCTTGCCGGCCAACTAAGCAAACAAGTCACTGCCAATGTTGAATTGCTACCGAGGGGCAAACCAAACATGTGAGCTAATGACCATTTGCTGGGCCTTTTTCTATATCCCCACCTGTCTGGCGTTTACACAAAATTTTACATAATAGCGAATACAACGACAACAAGCGAGGAATGTTCAATAGATTACAAACAAAGGGAATCGAAGGGCAAAGGAAAGCCCAGAGAACATTGTCGTTAAATGAAAGACCAAAATGTTGTCACATAATCGATTAATACATTCACGGCCTGTAACCCACATCAAGTTTGTTACTATCTCTTTCTTGGCATATCGATATCCCAACCTTCGCGGGAATCGATTGAAAAGCGAGACCTTCAACATGCTGGCTACTAATCCCATTCATTTAAGATGTAAACCCCCTTAAGCCAAAGAACCCGTCTTATAATTAGCACGAGTACGTGGCTCTCGGATGTCTATGGATACTAATGAATATCCGGCTAAAACTGAGCTCAGGAATGAGTACAATTACACGCGGGCAGGTATATCAAGTGACTTCGTGTGTCCTTATGTGCATCCCGCTGATGGCTAATGGATATGGAAATACCAGGGAGCAGAGACGGAAAAGTAGAAAACACCGTTCTTGACATATACCTGCTTTGGCTGGTCTTTTTATGGCGGATTAATAACACTTTTGCTGTTACCAGCATGCTGGATTAACCATTAACATCTCACCATGTGTTAGAGGAAATCTAATTAGGTGTTGGTTCAACTAATACTTCAGAAACTAGAACTTGTTTCGAAACTTTTCTAACGAAAACATGAAAATCTGCACAAGTTGTTGACCACAAAACAAGGTCAAATTGATTAATCTACCCAATGTTCTTGTTTGATGTTTTCCATTAAAAAAGTTTGCATAAGTGCATAATACATTCAGTATTCAAAACAAGAGAAAAACAAGTAACAAAGATTAGATTTAAAAACATAAGTATTCGTTTATGACAAAATTTCTACATAATCATTATTATTCAACCTGACTTGAGAAAGCACTCGACTGTACTGTACTTTACCATATGCCAATGCAATTTACATTTGTTTGCTGCCGACATAAATATGTAAATAAGGTTCGATTGAATTGCCGTATGTCACCGAGGATTTTCAAGCATGTCGAACCAAATAATATTTGCATTTCTCTTTTAGGCCACCTGTCCTCCCCATTGAAACTCAATCAATTTGAACAGTTTCAATAAATGGAGCCAGGGGCGAATGGCGAATTTATAGATTGGCAGTGTTGGGAAGGGCCATAAAACGCACTCATCAATTGAGCGACAGAATACTTCAGTAGCTTGCATCCATCTTTCCAGTCAACTCAGTTCTTGTGGAAAAGTCCTTGGCTAAAGTCCTATATTTAGCCAGTATCGGGCCTACTCGAGAACTGTGTGCGTGAGTAGGTTTCATATATGCATATCTGCGGAAGATTGCGTGCTATAATTTTACTTTTAGATACAACCTTGTCTCGGTATTTATAATCTTGTACCTTGCTTAAAAGTTTATCTCCTCTCTTAAATTACAAGGTGGCACTACTTTTTGATATCCATTAAAATCGTTTATAAGTAAATGGTAATGCAACTTTACTCAACTAATTTGGTATATGCGTGTCGCAAATAAAATAATTAAATTTAAAACTTATACTTTAATTGCAAACCTACATTTTTACGTTCTCCCAAGAACAAAGGTCAGATTCATCTAAAAAAATTTGCTTGAAGTGTGCTGAAACATGCAGCCTGACCAAGTTTCCGCTCGTCTGTTGACATCCATTTCGCAACACTTTTATCGCGACCTCGCCCCCAAGTCTCCCCTTTTGAAAACCTCCTCTCGTATGACACTATTTAACCACATAAGCAGGGAACAAAAATCAATACGGACAACAACAACAGCCACATTTCGCTGATTTTTGCACACACGGCAAAATTGGAAATTTCATTTACACTTGACACGAGTCTCTTCTTCCTCTCCTACGCTATTTTTCCCACCAGCACCACCCACTATTTCCCTCTTTCATGTCATTTTTCTTTTATATGCAGAATGCACGTGTTTGGTAACAAAATGGTAACAGTTTTGTATCCGTTAGGAAGGATAAAAATGTCACACTTTTATCAAGGAAAGATTTAATAAATGTGTGCGAAAACGATTTGCAGACACTGTCAATTCTGTTATTTTGTTTGATAAATCAAGTAATTCGTACTTTTACCTAGAAATGCATTTCGTTTAACCTTTTAAAAACCTTTTAAAATCGCTGTATATAAACCTTGACATTACGGTAATGGAATTTAATATCAACCTGTCATCCCTCAAAAGCAATTGAATTGCATTCTGGCAAAAACCAAAACAAATTCGCACTTTTCTGTTCAGTAGTTTACGCTCCGTGCCGCCACTGGAAAGCCTTTACACATTAACTTGATTCAGTGCGTCGAAAGTGAATTTGCACAGAATTAAATTGACATGACCAA